AGGCCTTCTTATTACCAAATTAGCTGGTGAACATAGTGGGCCTTAGTCAGATATTTTGTTCATAGCGACCAAAACTGAGCTAAAAGTTACTATTGGACTTAACTTACATTAGGTGGACAGAAAAACGACTTCTGATGTTGCCACATGTCCTGAAATCTATTTGGCAAGCAACTTGTTCCACTACCCCCAGTAGGTGGTCCAAATACATTTATGAAGCTTTAAAGATAAATTTCAGCATCTTAGGAAATTGTATTGATTTTCTGGGGGTGAGTTAAATAATAAATTTGTCCATTAAATGTGAAGAGACAGCCAGCAGCCAATTAGCTTAGCTTCAGCAGAAAGCCTGGTAACTAGCCTGCCTCTGTTCAAAGGTAACAAAATCCACCTACTAGCACCTTTAAAGCTCAGTAATTAGCATGCTGTATCCTGTTTTTTTCTCAAATTCATATAAAAACGAAGTGTGGAAATGACAATTCTCAATATTACAGGGAGTTATGTGTAGGAAGATCTCTTGACTCTGGAAATGGTAACACTTTACAATAAGGGGCACAAATTATTGAGCATTTACCTGGGAACAAATGAGGAACGAAGGAGAGACTAACTGCTACTGAACCATTAGTTATGCTAAGCTAACCAGTTGCTGGTTGTACCTTCAAGTTTAGCATAGTCACACAATAGTGGCATCGGTCTTCTCATCTAACTCTCTGCCAGAATGTGAATAAGCGTTTACCAAAATGTCAAACTATTCCCTTCAAAGATTATGATGTGACAATTATAAATATACTTTGTTTAATGATTTATTATTATAGATATTTGTTATTATAACATTAGATTTAATGGAAATTATATAATAGATTTGTTATTACCCTATAGAAAATTGTGTCCAGACAATAGCTCCTATCTGTTAAGACTATATTAATATATTCTGGTACAATGGTCATTAATTCAGATTATGAATGGCCTCCAGTGTACTCCATGACTATCTTACGTTGAGTGAATCACACCATGTACTGTAATGCCTCACTCAAAGTGCAGTATGTTATTATTACTTATTAAACGAGGGATCGTATCCCCTGTTGACTCAAGCCTCAGCTCTTATCTCTCTGTGAAACCTGTCATTGTGTTTGGGCTTATTACTGATGCACAGTCCGCCACACTGTCCTTGGGGTGGGACAACAGAGTCTCTGTGCTCAGTCTGGACAAAGTGGGCACCTCAGAAGTGAGTCTGACAAATTGTCATGCATGTGTCCCTGCGTCGGAGAGATACAGGCTGTCTTTCTGTGTGGCATGGAAGGATTAGGATGGAAAAACTGAAACACAGCTGTCATTTTGATACTAAAGCAGCCTTTTCACAACATTTACAGGACTTTAAACCCTGCCAGCCAAGCCTACAAACTGGAGAATTTCTCCTGAACAGATTAGGACACGGTGCGCGAGTTTAGGACCGGCTTGTTCCAATAAAGTGTACAATGTAATAATTCATAAAAAAGAAGAGGAAACAGGAAGAGATTGACAAACATTCAGAAGGGGAGTGGGTGGGCAGAGCTAAGATAGTTTGTTTTCACAATGTTAAGATTTTCTTGGTGTGACCTTCCTGCTTTCTTACTTGGTGTGGGGAACCTGTCAGACTAGTAGAGCTTGATTGTCTCATGTTTTGATCCCTCCAGCCCTGAGCACACATGACTCAGCAGAGTGAACTCTCTTAGTTCATGCAAGCAAGGCTATTCTTTAGAACAACACACAAGGTTGAGTGTTAATGGGCCATGTTTTGATTCCGGAAAAGGTGCAGATACCTATGGAATAAATACTAGAAATAAAATTAGAAGAACTTTGACGTATCATATTCAGGTGCATTAAAATGAGCAGATATCTGTCAAACGTCTGTGTACTCTGTTTGTCACATTCCTATGGGTTAGTTTCAACTTGTGACCACTGTTCCTCATTATGCCAGCATGTGCTAACATCAGTTTTGGAGATTGTTTTTTTTCAATCATAAAACAGTCTAGTGGTTAATAATGACTGAAGATGCTCATTACAGCACTACACATGTTAGTCTGTACATTGGGGATTATTATAACTATATAACTAAATTAAATATTTATGGGTTTTAGAGGTAAAAATCACACAAATCCAACTCTAACATTTCCTGGTACATTGCACAGTTCAACTGCCCTAATGGATTACTATTAAATCGGTAATCTGTAACCTGCAATGTATGTCCTTTCCAATCCTGTACAGATTTTTTACTGAATATGTCCACTGCCACCCTCGCTGTGCTGGAGTTCTTCTAAAAGCCGTGTTTAAAAAAAGAAGGAGAAAAATAAGCATTGTTTTTTGCTCTGTTCAGACTATACACTTGCAGCACTTGGCAGAGTTGCAAGAGGCAAGTGGAACAATCCTGAAACAGAAAATAGGCATTTGGTTTGTTATGTTTGTGTGACACACTGCACAGAAACAGTGGAAGACTGTTCCACTGAAGAAGCAGCTGAAGGAAACCAATTCTATATCTGTAAATATATCCCAAAAGGTACACTATGTGATGAGAATGAAACAAATCCACTCTTGAAAAAGTGGAAAAAAAGATTTGGTAACGTTATTGCACTTTAATAAAGTTAGTAACTCAACTTTAGTGCTTAATATGACTCAAGTTCCAAAAACACTGGATCCTTCACTCCCAGACTTTTAAATACCCACATCTTTCAAACTCCACGTCCCAGTTTGTAACAAAGGCTTTGTTAATAACGTGTAGTCTCCGAGACCAAGCCGAGATACCCGAGTGATGTCACTTCACTTGGAGCAGTTGATAATAAGCTCCTCCAGAGCCGCAGAAAACTTTGTGCAACTGTTGTCACAGGCTGACCTGGACAATTTTCAGGGGTGACTTGTGTTCACTTTCTGGTGGCACAGAAATGTGTGACTTCAGTGTTTTTCTGCATGGTGCAGCATTGTAGGCCATAGTAGTCCCTATTTCTGCTCACCCGCTGTCAGTCACTAACTCAGGCAACAGCAGTGAGCACAAAGTTCACCATTAGGAATCATACCTAATGGGTTTTTCTATGCAACAGTCAATTTATAAAACAATCTCTGATACTGTTTGAACAATTTGGGTTCATTATCTAAAATATCCTTAAAAGAAAATTATTCACAGCCATGCCTGACATCAATCAGCATGCTAACATGCTCACAAAAAAAATGCGATGTTCAGCAGGTATAATATTGATCATGTTCAGCTTCCTAGTTTAGCTGCTTAGCATGCTAACATTTGAGAATTAGCACTAAACAGAAGGTGCAGCTGAGGCTGATGAGGGCATTTGTTTTTTTTGCAGATATTTAGTCATAAAGTATTGAACACACTGAACTGAATGGCGTTTGTGTGTGATGGCCAGTGGAGTGGCAAGGTTTTTGTCTATGCTGGCCATGGTCATCGAGTACTTTGAAATATTATGTTCATTTTTAAAAAAGGATTTTTCATTTATTGCACTGACCACTTTCTGTAGGCTGCATGACAAATTCTTTCAAACAGAACAGAAACTTTGCATAATAAACATGGTACTTCCTGCTGCTGCACTGAGGCGTTTGAAATGAAAACCCTGTGATATATTTTTCTAAAAATTCATCTGGAGATGCCTGTTAACGCCATCCTTTTGAAAATGATGTCCCTCTCCACGTTGAGGTGCATCTATCTGAGGAGAAAGACAGAGTTGTTTTTCAGGAGTATATGCTGCACAGCCCAATTATTTTGGATCAAAGCCAGACAACATGAAGGACGAAAGTGAGGATAAAAACACTGAGACGTGATTCAGGTCAGAGTTTGTCTGTTGCATAGGCGCAGCGTCCAAAGTTAAAGCAAAGTGAATAATGAGCGGCGCCCCCACTTTTCATTTGAACCTTTCTACTCAGTGACAGGAGGTGGTGATGGATAAGACACATGCCTTTGGTGTGAGAGACTTGGGTTCTATTCCCACTGTCACCCACCACCATTGTGTCCCTGAGCAAGACCCTTAACACACTGTTGTAAATTCGCTTCGGATTAAAGCATCAGATAAATGTAATGAATTACCAGCAAAGAAAGACAACATTTTGATGATTTTTGATTACACAAAGTGCTCTAATATTTACTGATTGCAACACTATCTACTTTCATCTCTCCAGGATTAGTCTGTATTTTGCATGTGTGGATATAAACAAGCTACAGTTTTGAAGTGCTCTCTCTGACAAATAATTAATATGCCAACATTGCATTTGAAAATATGAACCATTGGCAGAAGGCCCAGTGGGATCAATCCATCTGTGGACAGTCCTATCAGAACCAGACCTCAAAGATTTGACCATTTGGTGAATCTGAATATTGGCCTTTGTGTTGTATATAAAAGATAACATAGCTTTTTTGTTTACCATAAGTTACAGCCAACATTTGCGGTTAGTCATTAACACACAAACTCACTCCTAGAGAAAATTACCAGTTCACACACAGACACTTGTGTTCTTAGTCAGAGATGTTTTTTTTTAAAACAAGGGTGTTAATGTGTTGTAGCACTTATCTTATAACACACAACCTACTGAGTGACAGAAATTAGCAGATAGTAGCCCAGTAAGAAGATCACAAGTTTATCCTGAAACGGTGACACCGAGAACTAACAACTGCATTTGTCCGAACTTTGGCCAGAATTTGGAGAGAGAGAGAGAGAGAGAGAGAGAGTGTGAGTGTGAGTGTGGGGCGGTTTAGAAAAAATGGTTAAAAAAAAATTGTTGCTAAGAAACTAGCTGTGGGTCAGAGTCAGGAGGAGATGGTACTGTGGCAAGAATGAGTCAGTGATACCAAACAAACGGTTTCTCATTTACCTCAAAGCAAGAACTATTAAGGGGAAAGCTCAGGAAAGGTCAAACATACAATGTGCAGATAATGAGGAACTGCAACAGCAAGACTGCAAAGAAATGAGAGGAAATTATAGCAGCACTATCTGTAAATACAATCCATTGGAAATATAATTAGACAGGTGTTGGATCGTACAGAAAGAAACTTTATTAGATTAAACCCCTGTAGATACTATTACAGCATTTAAAGTTTTTGCAACAGCTGAGCAATAAAAAAAATGACTTAGAAAAGATTTTTTTATGGCAACCACCTTACTTAGACACATCATAAATACCATAAACACCCCACCATCCTAATACAGTTTATTTTATAGGATTACAGATTACAACTGACATTCACACCTACACACGTTGCATACTTCAAAACCAACCTTGAATTTAAATAAGTAGTATTCATTAATAAATATGAATTATTTCATCAATAAGTGGGTGTATTGTTCTCTTAAGACAGATTTCATTAGTGATGTAGTTATGCATGTGCCCTTGTAAGAAAGACGTTTAGGTAGAATATAAAAATCTGGATGACGACAACAAACACTTCATAAGACAAACACAGAAATTTAAGTTTCCTTCCCCCTCAACAATATGGAATGTCAAATTTATAAATATGATAGTTCTAAAGTGCATCTGTCAAAGACTTGTCGCATGAAAAGTCATCAGGGGTCTTGTTTTAAAAAACGAAAAGGCTGACAAAACTAAAATTAGATATGTCTGAACGTGCAACAGATATATTTAGCAAAAACTACCTACATACATGCACAGGTTTTTTTTGTTTGTTTTAGGCAATGGGAAAAGAACAAGGTAACAGATAAAAACGATAAAAACATCTTCACTTTGTCAAGTGGTGATAAGTAGTTCTGTGCCATTTCAGTCCACTCTTGTTTGTTCACACTTGGCTTTACAGAATATTTTATTTAAATTTGAAGCAAACTTGGCTGATAAAAAAAGCACACAGTGGTGAATAAGTTCCTTCCATCTGCAGAATCTCTTTCATTCAGTCACTTTAACCTGTTATTCAGGTCATCCCTTAAGAGAGGTGAGGGTTTTCAGGGCTAGATCTTAGGCAGCTTGGGAGCACTGATAAGAGGGTTGGTCTCCTGCAGAAATCGCCGACCAGCACTCTTGTAGTCATAAGTGCAGTCATGCGTCTCTGCGTAGCGGTGGGTGGCACAGAAGTTATGACCACACCTGAAAGATTTAAATAAACAGATATGTTGTTGTGTATCCAAAAAAAAGAATCCATACAGACAAACAAAAAAACAGATCTGGTAATACTACTTTATAGTAACAGTCAGCAAATAAAAACCAAGAATTCTTTTCATCCATCAGCAAAAATTACCTGCTAATCATCTGGCTATTCTGCTGAGTATGAATGCAGAGTCACATTATTCCCTTCTTATTTTAATTCCCCCCCCCGCCCCAAGTGTTCTCAGACTGAAAGCCTCCTTTAGGTGCTTTAATCTTTGTATTTGTATAAGTCCATTAGTAAAAGGAGCAAGGTCTTATTTCATGTGTGAACAATAACAGAGTTAATTATCAAAGGAAGAACAGAGACTTTAGCTCACTGATTGATTTGCAGCCTTTAATTGTGCAAATGGACTAATGTTTCGACATTACAGAGTCTTCAGAGTGACAACGGAAATGAGGCACACTGCATATATAATCAAACCAGGAGGTGTACAGTTGTCATTGGATAATTGGTTGAATAGCATTTCATGTCCATGTTCATTTATTGGAAATTGAATCCCTGAGTGGGAGTTGCCACAGTCAGTGACCAAGTGCCACCCTCCCACACCACAGAGACAAAACAACACAGACACATCTTGGAGTTAGAGATAAAAATGACAATACAAGTGCTGCATCCATTGCGTACAACAAATTAGAGTAAATATGACAAATTCAGTTCTTCATTTATGCCACTGTGTTAAGATTGTGAACCCAATATGCCTCTCTGAGTTGATACAAGTCTCCACCTCTAGGAGAGGGTGACATTTTTTCTATTCCCCAGGACTTCAATGATGCTGCAGAGCCATGGTTAACCTGTGCATAATAATGTATTCCATTTTTGGCAACTCCCACTCTGGGATTCATTATCCAATAGAATCATGTTCAACCAATTATCCAATGACAAGTGTACACCTGTTCTAGGTTGCCTACATATGTTGTTTGCTTCAAGTTTTTGTCCATTCTGACTCTGATGAAGACACAGTGGCGTCCAAAAGGTAGTCTGTTTGCACAATTAAAGGCTGAAAATCAAATCAGTGAGCTCCAGTCTCTGTTTTTCCTTTGGAAGGGTGCTGTCCTCAAGCTGAGAAGCACCTGATTCAGCTGTATACTGCTGGGAGATGCAGAGAACCCTGTAATTTAATCAGAGAAGTTTACCATTTGACTAAACTGGTATCAGACAGTCTTTTGAACACAGTTGGGAGCTCCACTTCAAGTGGCTGGTTTTAAGAGATTAGAGTTACATACGGTTGCATCAGATTTAGTGTCTGTGTCCTGGACAAGGCCTGAGAGAGGGAAGTGATTCAGATGGATGTCGCAGGGTGAAACTTTGATGATGTTAAAAATGTGTGGCAGAACAAGCAGTGAACAGAGACGTGTTTTCATGGGAGAGATGGCTGAGACAAAATGATGAACTAGGAGAAGACTACTTTCTACTAAAAGCTTCGCTTCAAGGACAAGAATGACAAATAGGGAGAGATTTGGTTTTGAGTCAGACAGCGAGTGAGTGAGTGAGTGCAGGTGGAGATGCTGCAGGCACTTGTACCTGCACTCGTAACTGGTAGCCAGGCCAGTCTTTTTGCCACAAAGGAAGCAGTGTTTTGAGCTCTTCTTGCCGCATGTGGGAGCCTTGACTGGAGGTAGGTGGTATGCTGAAGTGCCTGAGAGTAGAGGAAACATTTTTATTGACTTTACAGGAGCAAGTGTGGAATAACTGATTGTGTAGTGAAAAGGTTTGCGTCAGTGTCAGGGATTAATTTACACACAGTCCAATCCTTTACTTTCTTTCACTTTTGTGTCTTAATCAATATCAATGAATTTGATTTATTATGCAAATATGCATTTAGAAATATGCCAATGTCCATCATCCAGATTTTAGCAAATTCCACGATATCCTGTGATTTACAGTTAATTCCATTATCATCAAATTCTGCTATTCCATCTGTGTTTTCTGCATCTCGGAAATAATAGAGCCCAATGTAAATTACACCGGTTCAAGTGTTCCTGGTGTCTGCACAACGCGTAACAAGAGCTTTTACAACCATTTCTATTCTTAAACAAAGCTCTTTGCTTTAATTTGTGCTTGTTTAACATTTTACAGGCTTCAAATTTGCTCAAGTTAGAACCATCACAGGAATCATGAAGCCATAAGGTTACATCAACACAGAATTACGTAAAAGGAGGAAAAGCGCTCTTATTTCCATTTGGTACTTTCAGGCATGTTGTACTTTTGACCAAACCACAGCAGTGATGTCAAAGCAGTCGGTTACACCAGCTGTCAAAGGCAAAAAGACCAGCTAGAAATCACAAACTAGTGTGTGGCCAGAAATGCAGTAGGCTTTTAAATGTTGCTGCACATTTCCCAAAATAAAAGTGTCAATCTTTAGCATTCTACTTTGTTCTGTCCAAGTCTCTATTTTATTCCCATTGCCCACAGGCAGTGTGTTTTCATATAATTTATTATGTCAGCTTAATGTCACTGGAAAACACTTCCAGAAATAAAAACAGTGTTCAAACTGTCACATTCACGTATTTTTATCTACATTTTTTTTGTCAGTCCTGACTATTAATTTCAAGCTTGCTTTATGATATAGTGTGCATTTTATGTTTCATTTGTAATGTAAATGTTCTTGTATAGCGCCTTTCTAGTTTCAACATTCAGTCATACACATTCACTGAGCCTAAGTGCTCAAAAGGAAACTAACATTCACACTCACTGGCGGAACAGCCGCCAGGGCAATTCAGGGTTCAGTATCTTGCATGGTTCGACACGCAACCAGGGGGAGCCGGGGATTGAACCGCCGATTAACGGCCAACCCGCTCTACCTCCTGAGCCACAGCCGCCCTGTGACATTGCTATTCTTGAAATGGTAATTTTTGAAAATGTGTCAGAAAATAAACAGTTCTTTCCTAAGGCAGGGAACACCTTTTTATGTCAGCTTGTACCCGTGATAATCGTGTCTGTGGATGCATGCAGCTAGGTTTGGGAGATGTGGAGATACGAGAACATACAGATAAAAAAACAGCTCTGTGATGAAGCTACAGGAAGCTCGTCGTCAAGCATTTGGGCATGGGATATCTTTGTTTTGTTGACTTGAAGCTGCTACCATACAAACATACACTGGGTTCAAATTTATTCAGACCCAAGCACATTTTCCACCTTCTCCTGTGTAATCAACCTCACTTGAATTTGATTACATTTAACCAAGGGTTGTCCCAATCAAGTTCTCTTTGCTCCCAATCCTAATCTGACTCATTTAATACAGGGAAATGATCATTTAGGATCTCATATGCACATTTTCTGCTCACACAAAAAGCACTACAGAGACATGGTGCATCGAGAGACAAAAGGTGCCTTTTTGGTAACTTGAAGTATCTCAGCTTGTTTCACTTGCTGTCAGTGTGGACATCACTATTGTAACTGCTGACTGTTTTGTTTGTGTTGCTCCGCAGTTCATTTACTGATGGCAGCAGAAAAGGTCCCAGTGTTTTTAAAATGAAGCACAATGGGTTTCTATAAACAACGAATCTGCTTCACAGACCAATTAAGATGTGGTTTATTTTACAGGTCTGTACTTTCCTAATAACTGGAAAGAACTATAAGGTAGTAATAATTATAGGGAAAATATGTTTTCCTTGAATCCATTTAAACCCAAGAAAATATTAATTTGTCATTTTTTTCACTAATGGAAAATTTATCCAACTGAACCATCTCGATTTTTCCTGTAATTGGTACCACATTACATAGTTGCTTCCAGGAAACCTCTGGGAAATTATAAGAAAATCAGGGACACAAAGGGGAAATGAAGCTTAGTTACCAAGATATGTACTGGTTGGTTTAGATGTAGAACCCATTTTTAGCAACACAAAAAGCCTCATTTACATAATGTTGTGCATTCAGATTGAGCTTAGATGCATCACCTGACTTTTGCATATCCTAGAGAACTTACTAACACCATTTATAAAACTGCACTCAAACATTCATAGTACGAGGGAGAAGACAAAAACGGAACTCTGAAAATGCTGAATGCTAATATTTCCACTGCTTACAACACATCCCTACAGTACATGCAATGAGGATGTTTCTAATCAAACTGAAGTGAAATATGTCCTACTTGAGTAAACCATAATGAATAATGACGAATATGGACAGAACCTCGAGAGCACAAGCAATCTCACAGTGGAGCAATGACTCACTTTTCAGCACGACAACAATAACACAGTGGATTTAAGTCCACTGTCCTTGAGTGGCCCCTTCAGTGTCCAGACCTGAAGGCCAGTGAAAATATATATTTAGTTTTCCAAGAAAAACTTATATTCTGAGAGCGCCTGAGGGAATCAACGTGGAGGAATGAAAGAATCTGCCGAAGTGTATGTGTGTGAAGCTGGTGAAGACAAACCAAAAAGACCAAACCTTGTAATTTCTGCCAAGGGTGTGCCTAAATCATTCTGAATAAAATACTATGTAAATTAGAAATTTTAGGCTTCATTTTAATAAAACAGGCCCTATGAGTTCAATCAGGAATTAAAAATAAAAGCTTGAAGAGTAAATTACACTCATGGAGATGTGAACACCAGAGTCAGCATACTTAGTGGCTCTGATAGATTGAATTTATTTTAGAAGCCCACTCAATTACGTTTAGACCAAACCAAAAGATTTTTGTATATATTATGTATGCCTTTCCAATTTTGTGTGGAATTGCAGTTGAAAGTAAAGACTAACTGAGAAGTCATTCATGTGCAGTAGTTAGTTGGTTTGATGTTTGCAATCGACCACTAATAAATTCTCAGCCTGTGGAAGACCCTCATACTGATAAACTCAATTCTAGTAATAGGGGAAATGGTGAGTACCTGGACTGCTTGGTGTATTGATCCATGCATATTATCCATACTGTCTGAAGAGCCTAAGCATATCAGTGGCTGACATAAATAAGTGAGTGTTTTTAAGTGTAGACCTGGTGCCTTGTGTTGTGTGTGCTGCCTCTGCAGTTATGGCAATGATGAATATTTAGAACTGCTGCAGTGCTTACATACAACATGCAAAAGACGGCTTTCACATAACATCCTCCTCTCTGTATGTGACTGCAGCTTTCAAGGGCTGTGTCTTAGTTCAGAACAGTTCGGCTAATGTGTGTGCACTCTGATGCGCCCAACACCACTTTGAAAATACAAGAGGTGGCTATAAATGCAACAATTTCTTTATATGCTAGGACTTTGAGAACATAAAATGTGTTTGCATGTCTCCCTTACCTATTCTCCCGAATGAAGTCATGACTCCCCCAGCTGACGCAAGACTGTTAGTGGCCTGTGAAAACAACAGCAATGTGAAATATTTGTAGAGCAAATACAGGAGTATAGCAGTGCTTTTTCTTGGTAAAAATATGAATTTTAAAAATATATATGTTGTGCTTGAAAAGAGTAATCACCATTAGTGGCGAAGAAATAAAAGGTATGTTCAGTACATCTTCACAAGAATGAACAGTGAGGTGTTTTAAGTGTACGCAGCAGGACAAACTATCACTTCGAAGGGACAACTGAGAACTGATATGGATTTGAGGACTCGATATTCCTAACAAAAAGGGGAGATAATCACAAGTTGGACTCAAAGATAATTTTGATTTCTAATATTTCAGCTGTTTTCCATCAACCATGACTAATATTTGCATTTCTCCTTATTAAAAACTTACTTAGAGGAATTGAATTTTGTTTGTGATGTTTATGCTTCAAATATTATGATTCACAAACTTCACACTGTAATAATTTAACATTACATTTAGTATAACTCACCGTGTCACAAGGATAAATGCCCGATGAAGTTCAACTACTACATTTTAACAAAATATTTCAACAGAAGCAGTGCCTGGGTGTTTTCTTAATAAATCATTACATTGTGTGCTTTGCTCTAGGGCTGGGAGATACCATTATCATCCATCTCAAAACAACTTAAAACTCATAATATCATAACTTACAATTCTTATCTCTAAATGACCGTTGATCGTTGGATGCTAGTAAAAATTTGTCACAGCATGAAATCTCAAACTTGACAAAACAATGTATGCAGTTTTTTAAATCTGATTCTGGTCTACTAGAAAAAAAAATGTTCAGTGTGATTAACCTGACTGAGAGCTTACCATGCAATTTTGAACAATTCAGTTTATGTCATATCAAGATAATGCTGTGACAATTACAGCAAAAAAGAATTTCACATCACCCACCTCTACTCTTAAGACTGCTGTCTTTGTGTGTCAGGATGAGCACAGACTTAAGTTCACTTTTACACAAAGCAATTTACAGAATACATTGTTCAAAGACCCACATAAATACTTCAACACACTTTGATTCTTTGAGGAGCAAAACACAAATCGAGCACTAAAATCCCAGAAATCCAGCAAACATCAAAACCTATCTTTGCTCACCATGTAAGAGGCTGTTGCTCGGTGCAACGGTGACATTTGTCTTATAAGATCATCCTGAAGGAGCCTGTTAGCTGGGATGGATGGCAGCCTGGAGCTAAGGCTGCCCTGTCCTGAGTCAGTGGCAGGGGGCAATGCCAGTGCAAGTCCCAGACTCTCTCCAAGGCTTTCTTTGCTGTTGCTACTGTCCAGGGCCCTTGTAGAGAGAGAACCCAGGAGTTCAGAGTTGTTCAGGGACCCCAGTGGCTCTTTACAGGCTTGGTTGGCCATCTTCGTGATGCCTCTTGCTTCCCTCTTAGAGATAACCTCTGGCCTCTTGCCAGGTGACTCAACTTTAACACCACGAAAGCGTGTCGGATGAGACCATGAGCTGGTGGAGGGGTGAGGGGATGTTTTGCCTGGCTTCACTTGTGCTGAGGATTTTGCTCGAAAGTCGGGCTGTAAACAGGAAAGAGTGGAATCAAAAGGTTGAGGTGGCGGTCTGGTAGAAGTGGATGGTGAAGTGGAGGTGGGCAATGGAGAGGGAGGGCTGATATGAAATGATGTGCCAAGCTGTGTCCTATCAGCTCTGCTAGTGAGTGTATCACTTGTCCCAAGTGTCCAGGTACTGAGTGGGGAAGGGGAGAGCGGCAGCTGGTGCTGAGCCCCAACCTCTAGGGACAGACGGCCTCCGTCTGGCTGGGTAGACACATCCAGGCTCAGAGGGTCTGACAGTTCCCCAAATGGAGCTCCAGGTTGTGTTGGCATCACCAACCCAGCAGCTTCCTCTAACAAACCCAGCCTGACTGCCTCGCCTGCAGGCTCAGCTGGATCAAAAGTGGCTTCAGGTGGTCCCCTGATAAACAGTGGAGGGAGCTGGGGGTACACACAGTCCCTCATCAACCTGGTGCTGCCAATGTCCAACCGTGACACTTTGGGAGGGGGCCGGATCTTTGCAAATTGTGGGCATGTCTCCCATGCCTCCTCCTCCTGAAGCATATAACAAGAAGGCGAGGAGAAAGGGGGAGGGGGTCTTCTGGGGATGGACAAGTGGGTAGAGGTTGCAGCAGAAGAGGGCGGGAAGGGGTCTACGGATTTATTGTCTGCGATTGGAGGTAGTTGTGCATTTGACTGCCGAGGCTGGTTGAGCTGGGGGAGCGTACGAAAGAGCCGATGGTGAGGTCGGGCGCTGAAAGGTCCTAGAAAGCCACCGCAGGGGTGTGGGCTGACAGGGGGCCTTGGTTTAACCTTCACCGACTTCTTCGGCTGGAGGACGGAGACATGAACAATGACAGTCAGATTACACCACAGTAAACCTACTGTACATTTTCAGTAATCCCCCCCCAAATAACTAAATCATAGTCATAATCATTAGTTATGAGCAAAAAACACATTAGATTCATTACAGTTTAATGTAATGAAAAGCACCATCCTATTATGAACATACAAAAATGAGTGTTTGGTGCAGTACATCTGCATTGTGTAAAATGGTTGCGGGTTACCATTTTTAGTCTGACTATGATAAGTTGGATTCTATGTGATGACAATATTAAACATAATTTGGTTTCATTATTTTACTGGTAAAAACAAAAAAAATAAATTGCTTAAGGAATATAGGGCACAATGCATGTTTTAATAGCATGTCTACATTTTCTTTTTAATGGTTTGAAAAGAAATTTAGTTCACATTTGCATTCTGACAAAAAAAAAAAAAAAAAAGGTTTCCATGATCCCAGTAGCTTCCAACCTTCTTGTTCAGGTTCATGTCCTCCATCTTGGCTTTGAGTAGCTTCATTTTGTTCATGGTGACTGA